TCGGTTGGCATCGTATGGGAAACACTTTTAATAATGATTCATTTTGAAATTCGACTTGGTAGTTAAGTTTTGATTTAAAAAATATGAAAAATGGCCTCGGTGGCGTCACGTGACTCGCTACATGTCAAAGATACATTTTTCAATATTTATCGCTGAAAATATTTGTTCGAATTTCAAAGAAGTTTACTTAAGGAAAGTTGGTTCCATTCCAATTTTACACTCGAATTTGAACGTTCTATTGCAACTTTTCGTTCTTGATATTTTTTTATTTCTTCACATTGTGACTTCGACAAAACTGTCCTAAACTTTGGTTAGATACGTAAATTAGTTTGATGATATTTTGATTGATGACTTGGGCATCAATTTAGTAATATGGCAATGGCAATGGCAATCTTCAATAGAAAAACACGGGGAATCTCTAGCTGTCGCGTTGGACATATCGAAAGCATTCGACCGTGTTTGGCACGAAGGACTCCTCCACAAACTACCATCATACGGCTTACCACCTCAGCTATGCCATCTCTTATCGAGTTTTCTTTCAGGCAGATCGCTTCACGTGGTGGTGGACGGTGTATCGTCTGATACCATTGGCATCAATTCCGGCGTTCCACAAGGATCAATTTTGGCACCAACATTATTCCTGCTTCATATCAATGATCTGTTGGGATTAACAACTTGCCCCATCCACAGCTTTGCAGATGATAGTACCCTCCATACTACGTTCTCTTCCAGAATTCCCATTTCTTCCCAGGAAACTAAGAACTCACGGCGCAGGCAGGTCAATGCTGTCAATGAAGATCTTGCTAAAATCACAGCCTGGGGAACGAACAACCTAGTTGAATTCAACGCCACCAAAACTCAAGCCTGCATTTTCTCTAGAAAGGCGGAACTCAGTATGCCCGATATTGTAATGTCTGGCTCCACCATCCCCACCAAGCCCACCATATCTATGCTCGGTATTACCATCAGCAACACTCTTTCATGGGATAATCATGTCAGATTCATCGCAAAAGCTGCTTCACAAAAACTCGGATTCTTGTTCCGTGCGAAAAGCTACTTTACACCTCAACAGCTTCTCATGATCTACAAAGCGCAGATACGGCCTGTTCTAGAATACTGTTCCCACATATGGGGTTCAGCACCAAAACATACGCTGATGCTCTTAGATTCCATCCAGAGAAGAGCCATTCGCCTGGTGGGTGACGCCACACTCACCCACTCTTTGACATCATTGGAACACCGTAGAAAGGTCGGCGACCTTTCACTTTTCTATCGATACTTTCACGGGAAATGTTCTTCGGAAATCTCTGCAATCATCCCTTCACTAGCAATACCAATCAGACGAACTAGACAAGCCCAGTCAGCACATCCTTTCGTTGTCAACCTCGAAAGATGTCGAACAGCACTTTATCAAGACTCCTTCATCCATAGAACGGCTAGGCTCTGGAATTCATTGCCTGTGGAAGTATTCCCAACAACATATAATCTCCAAAAATTCAAAAAAAAATCCAATACCTACCTCCTGTCCCTATCCTCCCTAGGAACGCACGATGTTCATTGAACATTATAGGGATTCCCTTTCGTGCGCTCCAATCGATGAAAAAAAAAAAGAAAAAAAAAACTGAAAAAATCAATTTGAATAAATGTCGCTCCTGAATGCCAGACGATACATCAACTTTGTATCAAAACATAACCGAAAATTTAAAAGGGGATTATTATTTTCACTTATAATCCCCCTAGGGAATGAATTATTGCCGGAAAATCTTTGAGTACATGAATTTTCTCCAAAATTTCATGTACGAGACAAATTTCCCGCAATTAATTCATGCACGTGGGGGATTCGGTATTATATTTGAAATGAAAACATAATTGAATATTTATTCTCCCTGTACCTGTAGTAAAATAAAATTCATAGTATCAGATACCGGAAAATGAAAATTATTGTCAAAATTATTTCAATCATGAAAATTTTTCAAAAAATTTGCTGGTTACCATAGTAACAATGTTGAAATAAAGCATCTGATGGGTTGAAAATGACTGATATGACATTTTCAGAAGAAAATCATATATTTGCCGATACATAATTAGTAATTGGAAATTAGTAGTATAGAGCTACTGATATGAAACAGTTTTGTCGGTTTTAATTTTTTTAAATATGTATTACCTATTAACATTTTGTGGAAATTGAAAAAAATATCAAAAAATGAAAGTTGCAATAGAACGTTTAAATTTTGAGACATATGTGTAAAATTGGAATAGAAACAACCTCGAAAACATCTAACTTTCATGAGTAAATTTTTTTGAAATTCAAACAAATAAGCCTATTTCCAGCGTTTTTCAAACCCTTTGTTGATCTGAGGCCGAAATAAATTTGTATTAAATTGTTTTCCCATTTGATGCCGACACCGATGCCGACTTGAAAATTTTTTTTCAAGTCGAAATCAGATGTCTTTTTTTGAGAGTTATACAATTGGCACTCCTGATCAGTTCATCAACAACTGCAAAATAACAATAATTCAGCGATAGAAGACAAATACAAAAGTACCGGAACGACATTTCAAACAAATTGGCTTGCATTGGCATCCTTCCATTACAAATTACTTATTTTCGCAATCAGAAGCTTCTAATTGCTCAAAGCTAATTATTGAAAGCCTGATTTATTTTATCATGGTGTCGATCATATGCCGCTATCGGGCATTTTTCATGGTCTGTTCGAATGATAAAGCCAATGGCAAACATTGCAATAACGGAAATAAATAAATGATGGAACCTTTATAATAATTCGATATTCTCATTTTTTTATCTCTCTTATCAACAAATGTATCATTCATTTCAATAAAAAACAAGGTTGTTTCTGTGTTTTTATAGGATTTATACGAATTATTTGTATAACAGAAGGAAATGAAATAAATATGAAACTTCATTGTATTATGTGTATTTCAAGCGTTAAAAGTTCAGATGCATGAGAAAAGTCGTTGATCTCTGCAAGGAACCAAGAATATGTTATTTTGGGATATGGGCTATATTTGTTGCAAGGTATAGTTATTTATTTTCAGAAAATGATCGATAATGATATTCTTCGAAGTCTGAATATAAATTCACACTATACACTTTACCAATAACCGAACCGACACGTGTTTCGCTATTGTAGAAGAGTTTATAAACGCGTTACATACTATACTTTTTCTATGAACTCATAATTCCTCTCTTCGGCAAGATCATAAAATACATAATAGGTTCGTTTTATTGGCAAGATTCTTCCACCGGAATGACAATTCATGTCGTTTTATTTAACGAAATTCTGAAACTGGTTTCAACTTTTCATTCCGTCTTCTCATGTGGAATGACAGGAGCAGGATTATAGAGGGAGTGTATGAAATGGTGATAAAGGCGGTATTTCAGATACTCTAACCTCAAAATCTGACCTAAAAATTGCCCAAAAGTGAACTCGCATCAGGAACAATTTTAGAATTGTTCACAAGTCTACCCAGAATTCTTACAAACATTTCTGGTCTCCTGAAATGACTTTTGAATGTTGATAAATCCATTTGTGGTATTAAATCTTCATAATAATTTTGAATTTTTGCTATGATATTGCCAGAAAATCTAATTTTGAATGAAGTATGTACGGATGAACGGCAAGATCCCCGAATTATGCTATTATTATATAACCTGAAAAAGATCAGCTGAATGTCACCACTCTCAAAATGAATCACATCGTTTTATTGGTCGTCAATTCTACTGCCACCAATCGGAAACCCTAAAAAAACGCACCTTTAATGGGTTGCGTGCAAGAACTGTCAGATGACCGATACAGGAGGCAAAACATTGAAACACAATGTTACTTCTCTTATTTATTTACAAGTGATCGAAATAGTTTTTTACAATTATTTTGGCATACGAATCGTATTTTTCCGCTATTCATCAATTCGCTCATGCCATCACATTGTGCTGTTGTAAAATGCACAAAAACTGCAGCGGAAGATGAAGGAATCCGGATGGTACATTATGATTTAAAAGTAAGTACCTACTATAGTCACTCACCTATAGTTTTCATTTTTGAAATTTGGTAATTTCTCTGATTTCTCATCGGAATTCCTTCTGCGATAGGAGCTAATAGAAATACACCTGAAATTTCTAAAATAATGCAAGAAGATTGTATTCATGCAATCAATCGGGAGGACTGGTCTGACATGCTGACGATCGTGTGTGTTGTAGACATTTTCAATCTATTAGCAGTATTAGCTTGTATTGCAGAAGTGACAGAAGGCAGAAGGAATTTTAATAAGGAATGACAACATTTCATAATAACTATGTGAGATTACTATTTACCTGAAAAATCATATTCTTTAGTCTCTTGCTGTATTTTTTGTGCATTGTACAACAGCACAATGCGAATAAGGCATGCTCGAATTAATGAATAGCGCAAAAAACACGATTCGTATGCCAAAATATTGTGAAAAACTAGTTCAATCCTCTGATTCCTCTGTAACCAAGTAAAAAAGTGAGGTTGTGTTTCAATAATTCACAGAAGAATGAGGTTGTGTTTCGATATTTTGCCTCCAGCGTCGGCATCGTGCACGCGACCTATAAGAAGTTTTCAATTTTCATCTGACGTAGAAGATAAATACTTCGATTCGTTGAGGTATCTAAGCTTTCGATTTGTCAGGTTTGTATTCATTTTCTGATTGCATAATTTTGGTAAAATAAATATTGTGTTTTACGTTTATTGTCATTTAGCATACTCAATGAATTGCATACAAAGATGAGAGCTTCATTTTTACACAGAGTTCTTGGAAATATGCAAGTAACTAACTATGTTAGCATCTTCAGGAGAAGATTAAAACAGTTTTGGCACATAAATAAATTGGGTCCAATCAACTTATTTTGACCTCCTCTACACGTGGTAGCTCTGTGTCCCAGCAATTTTGGGAGACCTGGTATAAAGAACTATTGTCTGATCTTCTTCTCTTTTTTCCAGCCTGTTCGAGCAGGAGATCATGTCGTACGTGCCGGCGGAGTCGAGCACGCGAACCAGCCCCCGCAGCTCCCCGCAGCCGTCGCCGGTGGCCTCGCCGGGGCTGAGCAGACACCGGGCGGCCCCTCCCGGCGCGCCCCACAAGCGGGACTTCGAGGCCAAGCTGAGGAATTTCTACAGGAAGTTGGAGGGCAAGGGGTACGGCCAGGGGCCGGGGAAATTCAAGTGAGTGTTTTTGGATGTATGATGAATTGATATGGGGGAGACCACTGATATTTTAAAATGACATTATCGTGAACTCTGTACTGAAAAACTACCAGCGAATCAATTTTTAATTTTGTCGTTCATGCTAAGACGATGGAAAAAATAAATTAGAATATGTCCATTTCAAAACACACAATTCCTGCGCCATTTGAAATTTTGTCAATTCATTGGTGTGACTGGTGCGACGTCTTATTCCCAACACGCCTATTGTCCTTGAACTGACCAATCACCCTTCAACTTTAACTCATAATATTGATTGTACATCAAACGTAAATTATGATTCGTCGATTGAAAGAGGTTTGCACGGATTTCTTCTCTCAGTGGTCTTCCCCATTGAACCCCTTGATTGGGTGAAAGTATTGAGAAGGAATATTCTCAGATATATTTATGAACACAAAACTAATGGATATATATATATATATAAGAAGAAAGATAGTGTGTATGAACACAGAGCCAGAGTATGAAGTAAAAGATTGTAGGTTTAATCCGTTCCGTGAGTGGAATGTCAATTGGTGCAAGACAGTCTGTTTCAGCTCGCCAAGCATCATCAGTTGCACTAGGCCAATCGACAATCCACTCACGGACCGGTCACTATTTGAAGACCAACAGGTAGTCTTCAACAGTGCGGAATACGGATGTTTGGTACAGTGCCACCTACTAGCACTAGACAGAAACGTGCTTTTCGGGCAGCGACGTAGGAGTACAGATATCTCTGTTACTACACCTACGTGCCCCGAGTGCACCTCGATAGTGTGGTATGGACCACAGACAGAGTAAAGAAGAAGAAAGATAGTGTGTATGAACACAGAGCCAGAGTATGAAGTAAAAGATTGTAGGTTTAATCCGTTCCGTGAGTGGAATGTCAATTGGTGCAAGACAGTCTGTTTCAGCTCGCCAAGCATCATCAGTTGCACTAGGCCAATCGACAATCCACTCACGGACCGGTCACTATTTGAAGACCAACAGGTAGTCTTCAACAGTGCGGAATACGGATGTTTGGTACAGTGCCACCTACTAGCACTAGACAGAAACGTGCTTTTCGGGCAGCGACGTAGGAGTACAGATATCTCTGTTACTACACCTACGTGCCCCGAGTGCACCTCGATAGTGTGGTATGGACCACAGACAGAGTAAAGAAGAAGAAAGATAGTGTGTATGAACACAGAGCCAGAGTATGAAGTAAAAGATTGTAGGTTTAATCCGTTCCGTGAGTGGAATGTCAATTGGTGCAAGACAGTCTGTTTCAGCTCGCCAAGCATCATCAGTTGCACTAGGCCAATCGACAATCCACTCACGGACCGGTCACTATTTGAAGACCAACAGGTAGTCTTCAACAGTGCGGAATACGGATGTTTGGTACAGTGCCACCTACTAGCACTAGACAGAAACGTGCTTTTCGGGCAGCGACGTAGGAGTACAGATATCTCTGTTACTACACCTACGTGCCCCGAGTGCACCTCGATAGTGTGGTATGGACCACAGACAGAGTAAAGAAGAAGAAAGATAGTGTGTATGAACACAGAGCCAGAGTATGAAGTAAAAGATTGTAGGTTTAATCCGTTCCGTGAGTGGAATGTCAATTGGTGCAAGACAGTCTGTTTCAGCTCGCCAAGCATCATCAGTTGCACTAGGCCAATCTGTCTAGTGCTAGTAGGTGGCACTGTACCAAACATCCGTATTCCGCACTGTTGAAGACTACCTGTTGGTCTTCAAATAGTGACCGGTCCGTGAGTGGATTGTCGATTGGCCTAGTGCAACTGATGATGCTTGGCGAGCTGAAACAGACTGTCTTGCACCAATTGACATTCCACTCACGGAACGGATTAAACCTACAATCTTTTACTTCATACTCTGGCTCTGTGTTCATACACACTATCTTTCTTCTTCTTTACTCTGTCTGTGGTCCATACCACACTATCGAGGTGCACTCGGGGCACGTAGGTGTAGTAACAGAGATATCTGTACTCCTACGTCGCTGCCCGAAAAGCACGTTTCTGTCTAGTGCTAGTAGGTGGCACTGTACCAAACATCCGTATTCCGCACTGTTGAAGACTACCTGTTGGTCTTCAAATAGTGACCGGTCCGTGAGTGGATTGTCGATTGGCCTAGTGCAACTGATGATGCTTGGCGAGCTGAAACAGACTGTCTTGCACCAATTGACATTCCACTCACGGAACGGATTAAACCTACAATCTTTTACTTCATACTCTGGCTCTGTGTTCATACACACTATCTTTCTTCTTCTTTACTCTGTCTGTGGTCCATACCACACTATCGAGGTGCACTCGGGGCACGTAGGTGTAGTAACAGAGATATCTGTACTCCTACGTCGCTGCCCGAAAAGCACGTTTCTGTCTAGTGCTAGTAGGTGGCACTGTACCAAACATCCGTATTCCGCACTGTTGAAGACTACCTGTTGGTCTTCAAATAGTGACCGGTCCGTGAGTGGATTGTCGATTGGCCTAGTGCAACTGATGATGCTTGGCGAGCTGAAACAGACTGTCTTGCACCAATTGACATTCCACTCACGGAACGGATTAAACCTACAATCTTTTACTTTATATATATATATATATAAAGAAATACATTGAGAATTCGCATTCTCCATGTGATGAAAATATTAATTCTTTCTCGCTCGGTTTATTCAACAGAAAACAACTACTTTCCTGGCTATACACCGTGTCCCAGCTAAAATGTCTCCCCCTGTTAAAAATCAACCACGCTATCGAATGACTTGAAATTCGAATTCCAACTGATTTATGATTTTCTACTTCGGAGGGTTGTTGAGGGGTAGTTTTTCGTTCACAAATCATTTCACCCCATAGAGCGTATTCAGCAGGTCTAGAATAATCCATTTCCATCAGAAAATCTCGTGAAACGGGAATTTCAACTGATTTATGATTTTTTACTTGGGAGGGTTGTGGAGGGGTGGTTTTTGGTTCACAAATTATTTCACCCCATAGAGTGTATTCAGCAGGTCTAGAATGATCCGTTTCCATGAAAAAAACATCAGGCAACGGAAATTTCAACAGAATTTTGTTTTTTGTACTCCGGAATGTTGAACCACCACCAACCAATTAGATTTTCTCCAAACCAATGGCGAAGATAATCCTTTACGGGTCTATAGTTATGTGCAGGAGACCCATCATTCGATTTTAATCATGTTATATTGATAAAATCTAATCATATAATTTTTTTATTAAATCGTTTAATTTTTTGCCATATCGTCGTAGTCGTTTGAAAAAATCCCATCAAACCCGGCATTGTTGAATTTGTAATAATCAACTCTACTTGAATATGGAATAATATACTGGGTGTCCCTATTCAAATAAGAAAGTTGAGGTGCACTTCGGTGTGACCCTGTATACCACGACGAACATTGAATTATATATCAATTGAACACACACCATAAGAATTTTAAAACAAAATCTTCTGAAGTTGAGTTGAAGTTGATTGGAAGATATAAATAAATAAAATAGAATAAAGGAGGAATATATAAAAATAACAGCACAAAAATATATACAAAATACCATAGAACAAGTATCTTTATTATTACAAAAAACATGTCTCTAATAATTCTCACATATCATAAAAGGCCTAGAATTTGTAGGCTAATTATTCGCCTAAACTATACAAGCATTTTCCAACTAACATATCTTTGACAGATTTCCGGAAGTGTTTCAAATCATTGATTATAGCTATATAATCTGGTAAATGATTGTGAATCTTCTTACTCCTATAAATGAAGGATTGTCTCGTTAACGATGAATTAGGCAGAGGAAGAGCAAGGTTTCTTTTATTACGCGTATTCTTGTCTATGTTTGTGTTCATGAAATTTCCTTTATATTTGTGAAGCAGACGAATTGTTTCTAAAACAAAAATTTCTTGGGTTTGAATACAAATCTCAAAGCTCGTTTTTGAAGGATTAGTATTTAAGAGACCATGACAGCTCCATAATATCATTCTGAATATTCAACAGAAAACAACTACTTTCCTGGCTATTTGCCACGTCGAACTATCAACTGTTGAACGTCAAAAAAAAAGTTTGTTTTGTTTTTAACATTCTTTGATTTGAACTAGGCACTCTTTCTTGATTCTTCAACCTTCGACTAACTAACTCTGTCCTTTGCACCGCCTAACTTCAATTTATATGGTCATAATATCTAAATACGCGTGCGCTTCTCTACTCCGCCGAGCTTAATCTTCCAAAATCATCTCTATTTCTCTCTCTCTCTCGCAGATTGCACATCCGAAGGGACCGTCTTCTCGAGGACGCCTTCCGGCGCATCATGTCCGCGAATAAGAAGGAGCTGCAGAAGGGCAAGCTGTGCGTCGTTTGGGACGACGAGGAGGGTTTGGACTATGGCGGCCCTTCCAGGGAGTTCTTCTTCCTTCTGTCCAGGGAGCTGTTCAATCCCTATTACGGGCTGTTCGAGTACTCGGCTAATGATACGTATACGGTGCAGATATCGCCGATGTCTGCCTTCGTCGACAACTACCACGATTGGTGAGTGGATTTGTGTAAGCAGGGTAGCTAGCAGAGTTTAAGTTAGATGAAAATTATACAGGAAAACTGTAGATGCAAATATAATTATCAATTACTTAATCCAATCTTTTCCAATCTCAACTTAATCGAACCTGAACAGTGAATAACATTCAAATGAACAGTTCCTTTTCCCAAAACGTTGATTGTTTTGTCAACTGCAAGTCTCACCTTCTGGTTATCAGCGGGGTTAAAGACAGAAAATTTCGATTTATCGTAACACATGTGAGAAGTAGCTCCACTATCCAGACACCATTCTTGAATACCCTGTGTCTGTACCATATTAGCTTCTGGAATACTGGCTACTTCTTCTGAGTCATCAAACTCATGAACCATCAAAGCTTCTTCTACATTAGCACTAGTTTCTTCCTGATTTCTTGTTCTATTTCGGCATTCTGAAGCTTTGAAATTTTTGAAATATGACAATAATTACATTTGTATCGGAATTTACTTGCCTTTCTTTGATTTGGTGCATCTGATTCAAATTTGTTCGAATATTTTGAATCCTGCCATTGATGAACAAATTTCTTCGGATGGGCTCTTTGTATTAGGAATAAATTGCACTGTTTTCAGTTTCTTTGCATTTTCTTGCATTGTGTTCATCAATTAACCTAATTTTTAGAGCTTCTGGTATAGGTAGATCGTCTCTTGCTTCTATAGTACACCGAAAATTCTTGTAGGTACTCGGTATACCATCTCGTTGATCCTATCAAGCGTTTCAAAAAAACAAATTCAAATGTTCCATCATGTCATTTCCGTCTGACATTTTCGTGAAAGGAACTTTCTTCAATAAAGCTTTCCTTGCTGGTCCTTTGGATTCATAAACTTTCTTGAGTTTGTTCCAAACTGCATGAGAACTCTTGCATTGCTTTATATTGCACAGCTCACATGATTGTATCGACAAGATTATGTCGTTCAGTTCTTGCTTTCCGATCCACTTTCTCCAATGCGCTTGCTCCAGGAATATCGTATCGCCATTTACGTAACACCAGTGGTCATTTTTAACTAGTATAGCCTCCATCTGTAGTTTCCATGTATCATAGTTATTCTTGTCTAATTTTTCTACTTGCATGACTGATGTTGACATCATGAAAAACAGCTTTCCTTATAAATCTCCCATAACCTCTATTCACAGTAAACTGGGGTTGCTGGGCCCATAACCAGTTAGATTAAAAATCACAAAGGAAAACTGTAGATGCAAATGTAATTATCAATAACTTGATAGACAGAGTAGTTATTCTGTCCATATCACATTGGGCAATATCTGAAAATGAAAAGACACACGTTGCAAGCAAATGAGTATTTCCAACAGTTTACATAAAAATCTGAATTTGTTAGTTCAAAACCCCCTACAAAGAATTCAAAAATGAAGTAGCAATTTAATATTTGATTTTTGTGATCACAATAGAAAATACATTTACCCGCAAAAAAATACACCAGAAAAATTGATCATCCTGTTACTTTTTTAATTATCTCCCGTTTCTGGTAAAATTTCAATCAAATCGTAGATTTATGTTTTGGAGTGTTAACTTGAATTTTAATTCTTAAGAAAAGCTGATTACTTTATCATTATACAGGAAAAAACAAAAATTACTCTCTCACTACACTACAACTATCCCCCTGTACAAGCATGCCTTTTCACTAGAAAAGCCGATCTCACTGTGCCCAACATAAGCTTGTCAGGAGTAACCATACCTTTGACGACATCCATTTTGATGCTTGGTATTACTATCAGCAATAACCTTTCTTGGGAAAATCACGTGAGATCAATTGCTAAGAGTGCATCCCAAAAAATTGGTTTTCTGTTTCGGGCCAGGAGCTATTTCACTTCCAGTCAGCTGCTTATGATCTATTAGGCACATATCCGACCTGTCCTGGAATACTGTTCCCATATTTGGAATGCAGCACTCAAACATACCCTGAAACTGTTGGATTCTGTTCAAAAAAGGGCAATTGGTCTCGTGGGTGATGCCTCGCTCACATACTCACTCACTTGTCTGGAACACCGTAAAAAAATGGCGATCTGGCTCTATTTTATAGATATTTTCATGGACGATGCTCTTCTGAAATATCAACAATAGTTCCTCCCTTGGCAGTCCCGGCGAGATTAACCCGTCGAGTTGAGGCTTCGCACCCCTTCGTGGTCACTTTGGAGACCTGCAGAACATCTCTTTCCAAAGACTCGTTCATCCAACGAACATAGAGGCTCTGGAACACATTGCCAAGGGAGGTGTTCCCCGAGGCATATAACCTCCAGAAATTTAAGGAGAACACCAATTCCTACCTTATTTTCCTTGGTTCTCACGATGTTCTCTGAACATTACAGGATATCCCTTTTCGTTTTACATAAAAAAAAACTCATCATTCAATTGGATTCTATCATTTGTGTTCTTATCTTCCAGGTTCCGATTCAGCGGCCGCGTCCTGGGCCTCGCCCTCGTTCACCAATACCTGCTCGACACCTTCTTCACCCGTCCCTTCTACAAGGCTCTCTTGCGCCTACCGGTGGCCCTCTCAGACCTCGAGAGCCTCGACTTCGAGTTCCACCAGTCGCTGCAGTGGATCAGGGAGCACGACGTGTCGACTCAGGGAGAGCTTGAGCTGACTTTTGCGGTCACGGAGGAGGTGTTCGGGCAGGTGGTCGAAAGGGAGCTGAAGCCTGGAGGGAGGAACGTTCCTGTGACGGAGAAGAACAAGAAGGTGAGAGAAAACGCACTGCGATTCATGCATAAACCGTTGAAAAGTTTACGCCAACTATCCTGATCGCTAAACACGGATAAACGAATGAAATAGCGAATTGTGGGGATAATAACAAATTCTTGTACATTAACGGGTAATTGCTCTGACTAAATAACAATAGATAGACACCGGGATTCATTTATGCATCATTGAAAAGAATACGCCAACCATCTTGACTGTCAAACACGGACATATGAATGGAATCGCGAATGGTGGGGATAATAACAGATACTTGTCGATTTGCGGATGAGCGTTCAGACTAAATAACAATTGATAGGATCTGCGATTCATGCATAAACCATTGAAAAGTGAACGCCAACAATCCTGAACGCTAAACACGGATAAACAAATGTCATAGCGAATTGTGGGGATAATAACAAATGCTTGTACATTTACGGGTGAGTGCTCTGACTAAATAACAATAGATTGACCCCTGGATTCATTTATGCATCATTGAAAGGAATACGCCAACCATCTTGAACGTCAAACACGGATACATGAATGGCATCGCGAATGGTGGGGATAATAACAGACACTTGTCCATTTGCGGAGTGTTCAGATTAAATAACAATTGATAGGATCTGCGATGCATCCATAAATTATTGAAAAGTTTATGCCAACAATCCTAAAATCCTAAATGCCAACCATGGATGGATGAATCAAATTCATAACATTTGGACGTTCCAATATATATTTTCTCAAATTTTGAATTGACTCGGCCGTTATTTGATGGAAATCCATGGCAAATGTAAAAACTTCACAAACTATAAGATTTCCACAAAATTCACCTGATGAAGCTACTGTGTTAGCGAAACATGTCGTGTGTTTGAGAATTTTGTGAAAATCTTATCGTTTGTGAAGTTTTTACATATATTTTCCCGTTTCCAGAAGTACCTCGAAAATATAATCCGCTGGCGATTGGAGCGATTAACGCACATACACTTATTCATAGAAATCTCGATTTGAATTGAATCTATCGATGGCATGCCCCCGATTATCCATGATTCCGCAGAATTATCCCCGGCGCATTCGCCATTTCATTCAATGTCTAGCGTTAGGAATGGGATCTAGGGTTAGCAGTGGGAAAACTTCATAGCATTCAAATTCCAGGAGTACCTAGAAAGGATCGTTCGTTGGCGCCTGGAGCGCGGAGTGTCCGAGCAGACGGAATCCCTGGTTCGGGGTTTCTACGAGGTGGTGGAGGCGCGACTGGTGGGCGCTTTCGACGCCAGAGAGCTGGAGCTGGTGATCGCCGGCACGGCCGAGATCGACCTGGTCGATTGGCGGCACAACGCCGAGTACCGTGGCGGGTACCACGACCAGCACCAGGTGGTCGTGTGGTTCTGGCAGGCGATCGAACGGTGAGTGGTGGAAGTGGGTCCGGGGAAATCAAAGATTTGGCAGTATCTGCGCCAGTGCAAATTCTATCAAGGGGCCCTTGATTTGCTTCTGGTTCACAAGTTGAGGGTATTGAATAAAATAAAACAAAACATCCATGTACAAGGATAAGTCAGTCGTGGATTCGAGCTATGTGGTTGGCATTATGTAGGAGAAAAACAAAAGGTGGTAAAATATTTATAACTTGAATTAAATGAAAAATATATAAATGGTAATTTACCAAAGCCCAAAAAGTATCATAACATTATGTTGATTCGTTCGGTTATCTGATTCTATAAACTACTGTCTCAACTCGAGCTCAAGTCTTCACTAATCAAATGAATGTCTGAATAAATTGTCAATGGCTCATATATTTATATAAAATCGCCAATTGAGTTTATTCTTTGTTCTGTGAGCTCGTGTTGAAATGTTATCAAAAATTATGAATTCTTGTGAGGCCTATTTGTAAGCTGCTGTGGGAATCTTATCACTAAAAACTATATGTAGATTTGGGATTTCTTACGCTTGTTAGCTATAGTGCTAAATTAGGTCGTTACATTATAGGTCTCTTCGTTTGTATTGCTAAACTTGCTAAATTTGATTTTGTTCCCATAGTTGTCTCTGTTCATGGCATAATGTTAACAGAGAAAGTCATAGAGACAAATAAAGTTTAGCAAGTAGAGCAACCACAAACGAACAGGCCTTATAAATATTCAATTTATCGCTACTAATTATTTCGGGGCATCTAACAGTTTTGTTTGATTCTAAGGGCCGGTTGAATTTGACAGATGATTAAATATTCAATTTGTTTATATCCATGGCAATGCATGCCTTAGCTGATGAGTTAGAAGAGTTTATTCTTCGTAAAGTTAACAAAGAGCTTTATGCAACCGGTAAGTCAAGTAATCGTAGACACATTTTCCATGTTTGAACACATTTATTTACTCAGGATAACTTGTGCGACAATAACCGTTTCAAAATAATACATCGTTCTGATGCTGATCAGTGAGTGACAGATGAATCGCCAGCCGGTGATAAGGCATTCCTGGGCGTTACGTCAATCTACAAGATGATTTATTTTCTACTTCGTCGCTAACAGTCCTATTTTTCCTTTCAGTTTCACCAATGAACAGCGCCTGCGCCTCCTCCAATTCGTCACCGGCACGTCGAGCATCCCGTTCGAGGGCTTCGCGGCGCTGCGCGGCTCCATCGGCCCGCGCAAGTTCTGCGTGGAGAAGTGGGGCAAGCCGAACAGCCTGCCCCGAGCGCACACCTGCTTCAACCGGCTGGACCTGCCGCCCTATCCTACCGGCGAGGTGCTCTACGAGAAGCTGTTGTTGGCTGTAGAAGAAACCAACACTTTTGGTATTGAGTAAGAATTGTGGCGGTGTGTCGTGTCGTTGAATCTTGTGTTGCAAAAATGGGAATTGAGCATACTTTACTAGTATTGAACGTTTGTCGCGTGTCCTTGGTTTTTGGACTCGGGAGAATTAGATTTCCTAAATGTACTTGACACTGCTGTTTTGACGTTTTTTGCATATTAGGCTACGTTCAGCGGCAGGTCGGACCATGGTCAATTCAATTCGTTCAGACCGTTGTCAGACTGTGGATCAAACCGTGGTCCATGTAGTCTCATTCAAAATGAGACCAACCAAGCATGGTCTGAATCTTCAGTCCATTGTTTCCGTCAGTAAAATATTTGTAATGAATCAATAACATGCAAATGCATTTGAATTTGAACGAATCTCTTCGCGGGTGAAATAGTATGAAGGCCAACTAAATCAACAACAATTCAACAGATATGTTTTGTGAAGCAGATGCAATACCTTCTGAGAATTCAACGATTATACATTGCTCCAAGATGTAAGACCTGTGATTAATAGATCTGAATGAAAATAAGGGTGGTCATTTTGGTACAAAACATGTCTTCAATCTGATCTGTACACTTTCCACTTGACACAAATAACAGCATAGTATAACTGTTCACCATCCACCATCGGCCGTTATCTATTATCAATATATTTGAGAATGTCCACCGAATTGATTTCAACAAGCACCATCGTTCAAAAACCAATCTGACCACTTACATTTCGAAATGAAAATGAAATCAAATGGGGGTTCTCATGACAACTTCGACAGACAAATGCATGGATCATGCATGGACCGATGTCGTTGAGAACTCCTATGCTTGCTGTGGTTCGACTACGGTGGTCCAGACCTGCCACTGAACGTATCCTTAGAGTACGGACACTAGACAAGCAGTGACAATCAAACTTAACCACAAACGATTTTGAAGCAAATCATATGTTTTGCCAGAAAAGGACAGAATATGTTTTTCACTTAGATAAAGGATCCTCGCATCCCACAAGTCCTGGGAAGAGTACATCCATATATCTTTCTCTGTCTTTGATTTTTGTATGAGAGTGCATAGCGTCTCCTCGAGTGGGTAAAAGGGTACGATAAATTGATTGGAAAATTATTTCTTCTCGAAATATTGAATGATAAGGCTGAAGTTGGTATCAAGTTGGTATGTACATATATACCAACGAAATAAATATACTATTCCTATGAAATAAGTCTCTCATATGATAATATAATGGGGTAAAAACTGATAAATTTCAACCAATGAAACATACTTTCATTACATATGGAACAATTCCACTGAAAAACTTCAAAATTTGAATAGAGTGAATAATTGATTTCCCGTGTTCTCACAGTTGGAAACTGCACAAACTTGCATCTTTCTCCCAATTCTCTCAGTTTGTCAAACCTTTGAAATTCATATCATGTACTTCCGGGTACTGTCAGTTCCCGCTTTTTTCATCAATTTATTTGTGGTTATGTCCGTACTCTAATATACAAAAAACGTCAAAACAGCAGTGTCAAGTACATTTAGGAACTCTAGGGAGAATGAATTGATTGAATTATTCATTCTTGACTTGGTAGATTGACTTGATGGAATTATTTGTTTCTTTACTTTACTACTGGTCGGTGATGACATTTACACTCCATCCACACTTTTTTTAATCGTAAATCAAAAAGTGTAACTGATAGTGATTGTGGTTTTCGTAGAGTTGTTGTTGAATCTTGTGTTGCAAAAATGTGGAAACAGAGCAGGTGAGAGGTTTTTCGAGGTGCAACTCTACGAGCGTTGAAGGTTGGTTGATTTCCTTGGACTTTTGGCTCGGGAGAATACGGAAGCGAATAAGTGCCATGGGGTTTTTGTTTTTAGTCACGAAAATTCTGACATTTATATCGAAATTGTTTATGTCGAAATTGTTCATGTCGAAATTTCAACTGTTATATCTCAATATTTCGAGTTCCATGTCAAAATTTCGACTTTTATATCAGAATAGAGAAGTTCGGCTAGCTTTGAGATAGAGACAATATGTCTTCCCCTCTAGTCTTCCCCATCTGTCCTTGTCTTCAGTGTTCTAACTTGAAAAAATGAAAATTTTTTGTTGGCAGCACTAGGAATGAGAATAAATAATAATAATAACATTCATTGATCCTGAGATATTGATCCCAAGGAACTTACAATGTTTATAGAGGGATACAAAAATAAATCAAATGAACAGTTCAGAATTAATTGATACAAGGAGAAAGTTGAATTGATAAAATATATTTCTTCAGTTCACTCTTTAATTTTGTGACGAACCTAATACATTTTTTTATTTATCGCTTGAAGCGCACGAAAGGGTAGACTATTATAAATATTTATTCCACAAAAATTTAATAATTGTTTCCTTAGTATGGTATTTTCCGCTTATTCGCATTTCTAGTGTTGCCAACATATTTTTTCTCTCTCTAGCTGAATTTCTCAATGAGGAATGTTCAATCTCCTATAGTGTTTTTTTACTATTCCTCTTGAACATTGATCATTATGTCTCCAACATGAGAAACAGTTTATCTTTACTACTGTCAATAAAAAAATATATATACTGCTACTATAGTAGATGATAAAAATAATTGACATCATGTCTTCTTTGAAAATGCTCTAAATTTGCCAACGATTTTCAATGACTATATCAACTATTCGCAATAAGTGACGATTTTAGGTCAAATAACGATATACAGTGTCACCTATGAAGTCCATTAGATATTCGGAAAAAGTTCATTTTTGAAGTAACAAAAACTGTTTCCTCAGGGATCGCATGTCCAGCAACCAGAAAATCGATTTGGCGGTAAATTGAGGAAAATGACTATGAAAAGGCGAAAAGTTGGGTTAGATGGCAAGATATCGAAAAAAGTTATTGAAAACAGTTGCTTGGAATTCAATTTCATACTCACAAGTATTCGAGAAAACTAATATTAGCTAGTTTTTCGAATATTTTTCGTAAAATCATCTAATGTTTTAGTAGTGATGCACTTGTATTTCAATGAAAATAAGGAAAGAATCCCGTTTTCTCCACATTTTATTTCCTAATAATATATAAATATATATATTATATTCAGTTTCTTGTTCATGTTATCATCTTAAGACATGAAACAAGATATAATTCTCCTGAGTCAAAAACCTAAGAAATACTACATCTTCAAAACAATGAAGATGAATGAAAAAAACAATGAAGTCTACAAACAATCAGCATTTTGAATTTTGTAATATTTCATGAGGCAAATGTTGCATTTTTGCTATATGGGATGACCCTAATCCAATTTTTGAATTGTCTACCAACGTCCACCAGTTGATGTTGCTAAGGAGTACTAGTGGGAAATCAGATTGTTCTTTCATTTTGTTTTTTTTTTGGAATGCATTGATTCAACGGGAAATTCAGTGTTTCTTTGGAAATTGTTCATTAGGTATATTTGTTTCCGAATAGGTTAATATTTAAGTTATTCGGAAAATGTATTGGGTTCCTGTGCTTTTTCTGAGCCAGTATGTATGTAACAAATCGTGTTTTACTACATTTTTACTTACCAAATAATAATTTTAATGTCTGTACAGTTTTTGTTCATAGCTATGTAGATTAGATATGTACAAAAGAAATAATTTATTTGCCAGAAATGCTTTGTAAGAGAGTCAGTCATAATTTATTAACAGATATTCTATGTTGAGAGCGTTCAAGGCATACTGGGTGTATACAAAAACACTTCCTGTTTCCTGTTATTTAACAATTTGATGTTTGGAATTAATAATGGGAAAATCGAAGTGATATTTTTGTTTGGTCGATTTTATTGAGATTCAAGTATTGTTTTTATCTGGTTATGATAATATTTATCTGTTACCTTATAATCCTTAAATTAATCATTGATATTGAGATTCTGATATTTGTTACATTAATTTATTATTTTACTATGTTTTATTGAGTTACCAATGATTATTGTAAGTTGTTCAAAATAATGATGTGATTTATATAATTCTAGTCAGTAAATGATATATATCTTCAGTTAGATGCACAAACATGTATATTTCATTGCCATTTTGTCTGAATTATATATTATAATGCTGCAGCTGGCTATTGGTGATTATTTTTTCGCATATATGGTTTTTAACATTCCAGAAAATAAATACATCTGTTGTAAATCATCTTTTTTCTCCACATTAATTCCACATGTTCTTAGACATTTCCTTGTTCCTAGTATTTTTACCTCAAATCCTAAAATTGAATCAAATGTGAAAAAAAATCAAACGATTCTTTTTGTAATATACTAGAAAGGCCCTATCATGTTTCATGAATTTACTGTGATGAGAAGTCACCATCACCGACAGCAAAAAAACAAAGAAATTCCTCAGCTATTGGCAAGGTGATGATTCCGATACGTCATCTGGTGGGCACATTTGAACCAGTTTATCAGGGCATTCAAGGTCATTTTTGTTATTGTTTGTTTTTCTGTTCATTTATTTGATATTTCATGTAATTCATTCTACAAATTACTTTGATTTTCTTGAGTACAGGACAAGAACTTCATATTAATAACCGACACAATTCTACATTATTTTATAAATCATATGAATCAACATATCACTCAAAAACGCCGAGTTGATACTTTCCCCTCGTAAGGGTACTTGTCGTGTTTCCATAGAGACATAAAGGTGAATATCTGTCTATCTGTTTGCTTGAGAATCCGGAAAGGAATTCAATATATCGCCTTCCGTACGAACATAAGGATCACAATTCTTGAAAGGATACTCTGGTCAGTTCTCTTTGCGGATTTTCTGTTCGGTTCGTTTTGACTGGGTTGTTTTCTCCAATTTATTGACAAGTATCAAACACTTTGCTTATCGGATCTGCAACTGAATATCACATATCAGAAAGTCCATGAGAATTAAAACTGATGTTGAATCTGAAACATACCTGAATAATATTTCCAACATTCGTAACTGAATTGCTTCATATTCGCTCTCCTTCCGTGGTCTTTCCAGTAGACATTTGCT